TATACCTTTTGTAATTCCCTCTTTGCTTAAATATTTTTAAAACTACATGGCATATTTTGCGTCATTTGTATCGTATACCGGATAGCACGATTTTCTATCTGCTTTTACATAATAAAGCTTACTTACATTTACTAAAATGTAAGTGTCTTTTTCCTTATGAGCGCATAATTTTTTTCTTCACTTCATGTTATATGTTGTCATATGTTTATCAAGTAAAATAACAATGGTATTTTTTAATTGTACGCATGTTTTGCAATAGTGCGACACATTAAACAATGGCATTACACAATATTTGTGACGCTGTAACACTTTTTGGTGCGTACTATAACCCAGATAAGATGTAAATTTGGAGGAAAATAAGCGAATAGTTTACATTCAAAATAATTTTTCTGCATGTTAATAGTATGTTCTTATTAAATTGTTCAACCCTCAAAATATATTTCTTTTTAAGCATTAACATTAATTGCCAAATGGAGTTAACATACTTGAAAAAGATATACCATCCCATATATTGTAATTCCATAGTATATTATTTAAATGTGTAAAAGGTTCAAGTTTATAGAAGAGACAATGCAAAAATAATAAAAACCATGCTTTACAAAAGGGAGTGACAATATTTATAAGAGAATGCACATTCTATTTTTAACACCATCGTCATATGAAATTACAGTTCTAAACTTGGTTATTTTTTATAATGTGATCAATCTAAAAAGAAACTAAATCTTGAAATGTTACATGTTGAGAAAGTTAGCCATAGTTATAATTTAAAAGTTTTTCAGGAATGACAACATCTTAAATAGTATTACATATTATAACCTTGTGCAAATGTTTTTGTGGTCTCATTAAATGTATATTGGCTAACATGAAATTTTCACAATTTAATAAAAGTGTTTTAATGAGACATGATAAAATTTCAAACTACCTAGGTAGAGGTGCCACTATTATACAATTTATGGCATGAAAAAGGTGTCTATTATTTTCTTCTTAAAAAGGACTCTCAAATGGACAAAAATAAAATTCCGTACATAGGTTTCTTTTGCGTACCACATTTAATGTATCAAGTGCACAAAAAATACACACACGTTTATTGCAATATCTTTAAAATAATAAAGGGTAAATACTTTTATTCTCTATACAGCGTACAAAACGGTTCATGTTAGCAAAGATTTTAAGGAAGTGGGGTTTCGAACGAACCAAAAAACCATGTGATATTGAAATTGCTAAAGATTGCTAAATGAAAAGACTTAGAGCTATTAATAAAAAATTTGTGCATGTTCATCAAAGAATGGAATCCAAAATAAGCGTTCATGTAGTCGTTTTCTAAGAAAAATGCAACAGAGTGTGTAGCACAACAAACGGTTATGGTTATGCTCTCTGTAACGTAAATTGCTTTAAGAACGAATGTGTGTTGATCTAAATTTTTGAAAATATTTGAATTCATATTTAAAAATGCACTTCGCAGAATGAATACGTTCAAAATAAATTGAGAACAGTTTGTCAATATTTACAACGGTATGGGTAACGCATGTCAAATTTCACAAAATCATGTATTTAAAAGAACCTATGGAATGTATGTTTTACATTTCAAGGCAATAACCTTACGGGCCTAAGTGAGGAATATTAAGAAGAGAGCTGCATTTAATATAGAAAAAATTATAAAATTGAATCGGAATATGTAAAAACCTTATGCATGTTGTAAATAAATTCCTATGTTAAAGAACAATGTGTGTACAAACCTTTTTCTTTTCAATTTGCATTTATAATAATTTGTAAAGAATTATTGCAGTAAACAGAAGAAACCTTCTGTATTATCTGCAACTCATATATTATTGGAGAAACATAAAAATATGATTTTGTCTCTTTTTGTACTAGCGAAAATAACAGTTTATTTTTTAAATTTTATATTGGATAAATATGTTGTAAAGGTTTATTTTTAGCAAAAAACGGGATGGAGAAAACGTTTAACAAGAAACAAATAGGTACATGGTTCATTACAGAATAACATCTTAGGTATCTGTAATTTCAATGTACTTAGAAATGTGTATAATTTTTTTTTCTGAGTATACAATATGTTTTTCTATAAGCTGTCATATAAAAAAACAACCACATAGACATACTAGCCAATAAAAAAAACATATTTCTAACATAAACTTTTTTAAAATATTTTAGAAATGGGAATAGATATCTAATGCATATAGTTGTAAAAATGTACAGGTTAATTTTAAGCTTCATACAATTCCTAGAATTGTTTTAAAAATAAGTAAAAATGCTTATAAAAAATTATATTAAAAAAATTTACAAGAGCATAGAAAGTAGAAAAACATTTACAATATTACTAAATTTTTTTTGATTTCAAATATAATTCTGATAATGAATCCTAAATGGATAATTCTGACGAAATTGTGACATGCAAGGGAAAAATTTTAATAAAATCTGAATTTTTACAACATAATTTTTTTTTTTTTTATTTCTTCATTTTCAATTTTTAAAAGAATTCTGATTATGTTTTAAGATTATCATATGCACAGAAATAAATAAATAAAAAAAAAAAAAGCTACTAAATTTCAATTTAGCTAGTGGCATTGCCATTTTCATCTGCTGTGTTGGCTGCATTTTCTTCTGCTATGTTGGCTTCATTTTCTTCTGCGGCAGCTTTTTTTGTTCCTCTTCTTCCTCCCCCCCTTTTAGGCTTTGCCTTTGATGCTGCTGATTTTTTAGTTCCTTCATTTTGATTTGTACCAGAATTCTCTTCTTCATTATTTTCCTTGTCTAGAGATTTCTCCCCATCACTTTTATTTCCATCATTGGACACATTTTCATAATCCTCAGTTTTGCTTGTTTTATCATTATTTTTCTTTTTACCTTTTTGATCTGCCTTCTTCGTTTTCTTAGCAGTGTTTGTTCTTTTTCTTGTTTTTTTCCCAACTGTTTTTTTTTCTTCGTCGTTGCTCTTTTCCTTTTCTGAGCTATTCTCTCTAGCTGAGTTACTGCTATGAGATTTATAACTTTTTCTAGATTCACTTCTCTCATCATTGCTTTTTCCTTTTTTTTCATCACCCGAGCTATTTTCTCTTTTCAGACTTAAACTCCTCTTTCTATCTTTGCTTTCATCACCACCTTCACTCAAACTTCTTTTTCTAGTCCTACTTGCATCATCTTCACTTAAGCTTCTTTTCCTACTTGCACTTTTGCTACGGCTATTATTTTTTCCACTTCCCTTTTTGCTATATGCACTTGATCTATCACTTGAATTGTCATGCTTATTTTTTTTCTTTTTGTAATTTTTATCAGCACTTCTAGAAGAATTATTCGATCCACTTTTGCTTCTTTTGTCATCTGAGCTGTAACTTCTTTTATCATCGTGTCCGCCTGTTCTGCGCTTGCTTTTATCATATTTCCTTTTGTCTTTATTGTCACCTTCGTTTTCACTTCCAGAGTCGTATTTATTATTTCTTCTTGTGGGTGAGTTGCTATACTTCTTGTGCTTTTTTGATTTAGATCTGTTTCTTGAGGATGATCCTGATTCGTCACTATATCTGCGTCTCTTTTTATGCCTGGGACTGTAATGATCCTCTCGATGTCTTTTCATGTATGACGAAGCTCTTCTATCTTTTTTAACTTTAACAATTGTAACATCGTCATAAACTTTAAATTCTGACCCATCAAATTTTTCAATTGCATATAGCATATCGTCACGGCTAATAAACTCCACTACACCTTTCCCACACTCAATGTTAGCATATCCTACATCACCACATTGTCTCATGACATCTTTTAAATGTTGCCATTTGCAACTCTCCGGCAAATTACTTATAATAATTCGATGTTCCGTTCTTACAGGGGGGCCAGATCCCTCTTCTTTGTTTCTATATTTTCCATAGCTGTAAAAAGGAATAAGAGTAAGGAACAAAATATGATGCGCTTTACGTCTTATTAACATACATTCTTGCAAATATGATCTTAAAACGAAAGATGCAATTTATACCTTTTGTTTTCTCCTGAATATTCAACACGTAAACGAACGCCATCATATTTATAACCATCTCTTCTATCTATGGCGTATTCTGCATCTCTAATAAGGGAAAAAAACAGGCAAGATAAGGGAAATTTTAATTTTTCAAACATATAGATGAGTAAGAAACGTTCGATGAACGTTAAAATGATGGGCACGCATAATCGTTTTTCGCATAACCATTCGGTAATGCGCAGAATTAATATCTACAAAAAAACATTTCTCCCCTTTTATTATTCTACTATAGGAATGCACAATTTTGTCTGCTATTTATGTACATAAATATATGGGGGAACATAGAAATATGGTTAACTAAAAACGATTTCACACTCTTGTAAAATTCAAAATGCAATGTGCCATTTTTTACTTAAACATGAGACTTGTGCGAAATAACGATAATGATAAAATAATAACATTCTCATTAATTACTAAATGATATTCATTTTAGAGGTAAAAACAAGGTACAATTTACAGAGCTCTTTATTTTCATCATTCATAACTTGCGTACGCATGGACGGCTTAAATGTTTCTTAATGGTCAACAAGGAAAGGGCGATCTCCCAAACGAAATTATCCAAAATGGAAAACATACATGATTACGTATATATGTACGTAGCGCAAATTGTGGAGCTAATGCATGCCGATGTGTCCACTGAAATGAAGACCCCTCCCCCCATCGTTGACGCGTCATTCCCCGGCAAGTGTTCTCGAAAACTAATAAAATTCAACGTCATTACAACTTACTACGATGAAGTCTCCATCGGTATATGTACAATATGACATGCCACGTTTTTTACACATATCTGTTCATAGGTGCATGCGTACACATGTCTATTTATACATATATATAATATATATATGCGCGCTTTCCACGCATCTCTGGCATTTTCGCTTTTCTCTCATTCTTACCTGGAATCGAAATAATGAACGAACGCAAACGAATAGGGTACGCCTGGAACTCTGGGTTTTTTTACATCGATATATTTTATACGTCCAAACTGAAAGGAGGAGACAAAGAGGGGGATAATACAATCTGTTGACAATCGCACATGTGCGAAGTTTACGCGGTACAATTTCTATGTCCACGAATATGCTCATCAAACGCGTTGTTCTTTAAGTACATAAAATTATTAAAAAAATATAAAATAATAACAAAGTAGTGATGGTACAAATTCGAGTAAGATATGTCTATACCTTGCCAAATAAATCGTAGACCTCATCCTCTATGACATTTCCTGGTAAGTTTCCCACATATATGCACGAAGAAATTCTGCTGTATCTGGAGGATCTATAACTCATTTTACTAATTAAAATTATAGCACAGTAAAATGGATCTTCTTGTCAAATTAACTCTGCGGCAGCAGTTTTTAACAATTTCTAAAGAAGATATACACATATATATATATTACTGTAACGCAGAGGGATTTAGGAGGGGGGAAAATAAAACGAAGACAAATGACAAAGTCAAAACGAGGGGAAAAAATACCTTTTATATGTTTATTCATATAATATCTTCATACATATACACACAACAAAACAAGAAGGAACGGAAATTGCGCAACAATTAACCCATGAATCAACTAAAATTAAAACTACCAATACAACGTGTTTTTATAATGTGCATTTTTTTCTCAAAGGAGATAACACACATGTATTGTCGTTTTCAAAACAGGACGCATTTCTTTTTAGCACAGAAGATAGGAACGAGCGAAAAATAAGATCTAGCAGTTTGATAGTCACAATTGTTTTACAAAAAATGGTACAACAAATGTGGAATGCATCATGTGTACGAATTCGTGTATATATATGTATATACGTACGTATGTACATGTACGCATGTGGGCATAGAACGGATGACCACGTACGTAACATAAATATGGAAAGGGGTTAATTCTGTTTCTTCGTCCTTGCTTATTTTTGAAATATGGTTGATATATACTATGCAAAAATAAAAAAAAATTCAAAAATAGCTGTACAGCTAAATGCATATGACGTTATGTATGTAATATTAGAGGCGCCATAGGTCATGGAAATGTAAAAGAATATATACAAGTATACATAAATGTCGCATGTGAATATGTATGTATAAAATGCAGAATAGTAAGGAGAAAACAATTAATATACATACAATCACTTCTAGCTTGAAATTACATTTTCCTTTATAAAAGCGCAAAAGGGTATGCTTACATGTATGGGGGCAAAATGCATATTGCAATTTTCATAAATTTGTTCTTTTAAAAAAAAAAAAAAAAAAAAATCAGCTTAATAAATGTTTGTCAAGAGAAACGGCAATTAAAATTAGCACAAAAAGGGATATTCAAAAAAAAAATTCTCTCAAATGAGTACATAAATAAACTATGTACATATTCCCCCGTATGAGGTTTACCTGTGCGCAAAATGCATACAATCCCCTTAGGGGTTTATATGCATACGTGTAAGGAGCCGTGACATACACGTAGGATTACTCTTCATTGATATTTCATTTTAACGTAAAAAATGTTAAATGTTGAAAGAGTACCAATTATTCGTGTAAATATTTCTCCAGGTCAAAATGTAAATTCAATTTTTCTTTTTTTTTCGTCCGCCAAATGGCTGTAAATATGTTAAATTCTATATGACAGCCGTGAATGAAAAAGGAACAATAAATCGCGGTGGTGTTGTTTCGTATCAGCGTTTGTGCTTGGCGACAACTTGGATTTATCAGCCAGGGCGAGAATCACTTTAATTCACCATTGGCGTATGCACTGGCGTATTAATTGGCCTATTTATTGGCGTATATATCACCGTATGAAAACATATAGGTGCATAGAGAACGTACAAACGGCACATTCCATATTGCATACATATACATTTTGTCGCATTTTTACGGATGACTGCGCTTTATTTAATTGCATGACACCCTTGGGGCGACGCCGGCGCGCTAATTGGAGGTGTAAGAAATTCACAAAATTTAAAAGCCTTATTAGGGTTAAATTTATCTCTTAAGGCCCTGCACAAAGGATACCGCTCAGCGCAGGAGAGAGAGATAGAAAAAAAAAAAAAAAAAAAGCGTATTAGAAGGCGCATAAATAAAAGAACGAAGTGGAATTAGGTTGACATACACAAGCTTTTTATGTACGTGTGCTTTTTTTCGACAAAAGGAAGGAGAACACTCGTGTACGTGCATATGCATACGCCTACACATGCCGATCTTTTGAAGGCGTAAAGGAGAACCCCCTTGGCCGTTTTGCTCTCGACGCGCATGTAAACTATGCATAAATGCGCTGCATATTTTATGCCCATGCGACAGGAGTGCTTTTTCACACGAGATAAACACCAAAATGTTATATCTTGCAAACCTTTAACCCCTTTGTCCTTCTCGTTGCACAGATTAACTCTTAAAAAATAACGAAGAATAATATGCTAACTGGTATGAAGCTTTACTTTGAATGTGCATAGGTAAGAAGGCACACAGAAAAAACTGATCTGTGTTTCGCTTTGGGGGGAATTTACATCGATGACGCAATAATGCCACAAAGAAACGTACCATTGGGGAATTTCCAAACATTGGCTAACGTTTGTGGATAAGTGAGAATAAACGCGGGGTGGATTCTAACGAGTGCTACTTTTGTCTGCACCATTTATGCGCGCGCTTGTGCCGGCATAAATTAGGTAAACGCGTCGAATGTCTTTACCTTCGTCTTTTTTATGTTCATTTTTAAGCCGCACTGTGCTTCTAATGAGTGGATCATTATCTCTAAGCTTAATCGAAATAAAAAAAAACTGTATATGTGGAAAGGACCATGTCAAAGTGCATCAAATTTAATAGCCCTCTTTTTGTGACGGCTTTTTCGTCCTCCCCCTGTTGGGCGTGAGTGCACGCCATCAAAGTAAAGTCATTCATGGAGACATTTAAAAATAACCAAAACGATAATCTCTTTTTTTGTTTTAAACCACATTACTGTTATGATATCCCTCACCATTGTAATTATTCGTGAAAAAGGAAAAATTTGCACCGCGGGGACGTGTGAAGAAATTCCGTTCGGGGCACCATTTCATTCTAATAAATTAGAAACATAAAAGGTGCGCTCCCTTTGAGGGAATGAACATGGGGGAGTCCGCCGTGTGTATATTTCACCCCAAATGGGGGTGTAACAAAAGGGTGGAAACATACAAGCATATATATATACATATATATATGTATGATGCATATGCAGCTGTGATGCGCCTGCAGCCTCGCACGGAAAAATGGAACAGCCGCAGCGATGCGCTTAGCCGTTCCCTAAGAGGCACTCCGATTGGGAGTTGCGAAGGGGAACTACCCCCCCCACACCAACACACGTGTGCAGGCTGCGATTAAATGCTCTCCCTGTAATAGGCCCTACTCGAATTCCTCAATTTTAACATAATTCCTTTCGCATATTTTCTTCAAATTGTGCACGTCCACCGATTTGGGTCGTTCTAATGGGTACATTAATCCCCTAGATAATACCAACTGGGACATTACCCCGATGGATCTAGAAAGCGCAAAGAGGACAGTGTAATATTCAGGGTACTTAATACCGTAATGGTGTAGGAGAGAACCACTATAGCAATCGACATTTGGGTACGGATTTTTCACCTTCCCAGTGGCAGAAAGAATTCCGGGTATTACTTTATAGCACATTTCTAATATCTGTACTATGGGGTCATTTGGAAAATGTGATAAGGCAAAATTTCGAAGGGCCAAGAAACGAGGATCAGGGACTCTCAACACAGCATGGCCATATCCAGGGATAACTCTCCCCGAATTGAGATAATCTTTGGCATACTTTTCAATGAATCCATAAGTTAGTTCTTTACCATCGAGTTGTTTTTTTATATCCAGCAGGAATTTCAGACATTCTTGATTAGCCAATCCGTGTAAAGGTCCTGATAAGGCAATTGCACATCCAGAAAAAGATAAGTAGGGATTTCCTAAGGTACTTCCAATCAGATGAGATACATGGGCACTTGCATTTCCCCCCTCGTGATCACTATGTAGAAGAAAGTATAGTCTTAACAAATCTTTTACTTCGTTATTTTCAAAGCCGATTAATTTTGCAAAATTAGCTGACCAATCAAAATCAATATCTAGGTTCATCCCTTCCCCTTTTTTTATATTATTATCTATAAAAGACCTTTTAAAAATATATGCACACACAACTTGGATCTGTGCAATTAAAGAAACAGCGTCTTCCAGAATATATTTCCAGTAATCCTTTTTTAATATGCCCTCAGAATATTTTATCTTAAATAAGGACAAAGATTCGAGGAACGAAACGGTAGATACTAACTGACTCATTGGATGTGTGAAGGGAGGAATGGTATCTATAAATTCAAAAACGAATGATGGCATTTTTTTAGCCCTACAGTATAACTCCCTTGAGAAAAGCTTCAAATCATCAGTTGCTGGTATTTCTTTTGTTAATAAATACCAAAGCATAGCTTCTGCCATTGGGTATTCACAGTTTTCATCCCACTTTGGAAAATCTTTTAAAATTTTATCTACAGTTCTCCCTCGGAATAAAATTCCTTTCCTTTTTTCCAAAATAGACGTATCGGTAATTAACGTAATGGTGTTCCTCAGCCCCCCAATAACATTATTTGGGGTACAAATCGAGATGGGCGTGTTTGGGTACATATGTATAATTGCTTTTAATTTTTCTCGCGTCTTCTGTATACAGTCATACGTTTTCTCTTTCAAAATGGTCATAATAACTGATTCTTCGTTATCGATGCTGTTGATGTGTTTTTTTATTTTCGCATAATTTTCTAAGTATAAGTTTGATTCACTTTTACTATCACTTGAGAAGTGCATACCGCTGTTTCTATTCACCCTCTTCATTCTTACAGCCGATCTCATTTGAACATTGGAACAACTGAAAAACCCTTTTTTCTCATTTCCTACTTTTGGTTCCTTATTATTCGTACATATTTTCTCATGATATTTTCTTTTCCCCCAGTGACGCCCGAATAGGGCCTGAACTCTGCACCTTCCCATCGGCACTGCGTCACGACTTCTGTTGCATCGTGTGTACCGGCTTGTGACGCCTTGGATTGTTATCATTATGACTAAATGGTGTATGTGCTTCGGGGAGGGGATTCACACGTTTGGAGAGGAAACGATTTGCGTGTACCTCTGCAGGGGATAACACGTCGATGGGTCTTTTTTGTTTTTTCTTCCACGGCGGTGTGACGATGTGGCGGCATGATAGCGCGATTAAAGAAAAGCCCCTTGACCCCTGCCTCCAACGGAGTATACATCGACGCAGGAACAAATGGCCACGAAATTAAGACTGAACCATTCCAGTTACAACAGTAATGGCGGAGAGTCGTGTGTAGAGGATGACCACAAAAGGTTTTCCCTTTCGAAGAGGAAGTTGGGCACACGCGTGAACCTCGTTTTAAAGGGAAAAACCGAAACTTGCGTTGCTATTATGTACAAGCATGTGTGTTAGATGTGCAAGCGCAGGTTTGAAAATGTCCCCTTGAACTTTTTTAAAAGAAAAAAAAATATCATACGTTTCGCGAAGGGTTTGTTATTTTTCCCTACTTTTTTGTAAAATGTTTCAGCAATTTTTTTTTTCCCAATTCCTTTTAAATGAAAATTTGAAAAACTTCTTCAAATGTTCACGTGATGATTTTTTTTCTTTTTTTTTGTTTGTTTTTATATGCTCAGAAAATTGTGTTTTTTTTCCCCCTTTTTTTTTGCATGTATATCTGATACTCCTCAGCTGTGTAAATGGTTGAATTCACATTTTGCAAAACATAAAATTCCCAATTCGCAACAATCGGGACGAACTATCCCTCACATGTTTTGAGCACCTTTTTGAGGAAAACGGCAGGAAATGGACTGCTGTCAGGTGTTCATCCAGGTGTTCATTCCTATGTCGACCCTGGTGCACCATTATTTTCCCCACGTATGTAAAAATATATATGCACCCTATGGGTTTACCAACATTGCATTCCGCGTCACATGGGCGGAAAAAATCAACGTCGTGTTAGGCAAACTTCCCATTGTCCGTTGAGGGGTGAAAAGACGAAAATGTATAAAACCCCGAGCCCTGGGGGGTCTCTTCCTACTTTTCCTATTGATTTGGTTGGGTCTGAGCAAATGTGTGAAACATACCAATTTGGGAAAATAAAAGGGGAAAAAGAGAAGAAACCCTTTCTTGTATTTCAAAACTTGGTTCATTTTTCCCTAAGTTGCTTAAAGAAGAAAAAAAAAAAAAACGGAATTCGGTTTCATTTCCTTTGTTCCGCCCATCCGTCGAAAACTTCACTTTTCTATACTCCCATAAAAATGGTAAGGCCTCTTTCTTACGAGTAATGCGATGTGGGTAAGATAACTTCGTTTGGTGAAAAGACAAAATGCGAACAAATACAAAAATGGGAGAGCGCAAAAAAAAAAAAGGAAAACAACATGCTCAACAGTTGGGACGCCCCATCTGCTGCTCCGTTGTCGTATTAATTCCACTCGGGTTTGCGACCCAAACATACAAAAAAAAAAGAAAAAAAAAATTACAACATAGAGAAAAGTGCATATTTATGATCCCCTTCTTCCATTCTTCGACAGGGAAAAATCCCTTCCGGGGGGGAAAGTAAAATGGCGGCAGAGTGAGAAGCGAAAAAATGGAAGATAAGAAAACGCCCCTAAAATATGTTCCACCCAGGATTAGTAAATCCCACACAGCGAAGGCTACGACCGGTCCGCCCCGCCCCGCGTCGCACGAAAATTCCAAACGAGTGGGCACGTCTCCGAGGAGGAAAAAAAGGGAATCGATTTTTCGACCAGCATGAACCCCACCGCGCAACTACGCACAACTGCACAGCGGCAGGCCAAACCGAACAAGCATTTTCAAATTTTCCTGTGATACAGAAAGTGACACAGGGAGCTTCTCCCATCCACGCGTATGCAATTTTTAAGTAACATCTAAGAAGCGGTACACGTTTAGCTCGAAGCAGCTGCCCCCCACGCAGATGATGTGATCAGGGCAGGAAAAAACACGAGCATTGACAAAATGGGGAAGAAAAACAAAAAGAGCAAAGAGAAGCAAGAGAAGATAAAACTCAAAAAAGAAAAGCAAAAATTGAAATCCTTGAAAACGAAGAAAAAAAAAAACGACAACAGTGGCAACCATGACGTGTTGAGTGACGCCGATTTCGAAACCATATGTTTGTATTACGAAAATTTAAATAAAAAAGATCACTATGGACATATAAATGTGAACACGACAAGCAACAACACATTTGTGGAGTGCGAAAAACCCAGCCCCAGGTCCAACTGCTCCGTCACCTTTATTAACGAAGAGGAGTTCCTCCTATTCGGTGGAGAGTACAATAATAACCACGAACTTCTGGCGTACAACGATTTATTTAAGTACAATGTAGTGAAAGATAAGTGGAAGTACTATTTCACCACAGGTAAGAAACCCAAACCGAGATGCTCACACCAAGCGGTTTATTTTAATAAGAAGCTCTACATCTTTGGCGGAGAACTATGCACGAACACACAATTTTTTCACTACAACGATTTCTGGTCCTTTGATATAAAAAATAACACCTTTGAAGAAATTGAATGTAAAAACAAAAGAGACGAGAGGCCCTCCCCCAGGAGTGGACATCGAATGATTTTATGGAAAAGCTCCATAATTATGTTTGGAGGATTTTTCGATAATGGCAAGTCAGTAGAATACTTTAGTGACCTATACCTGTACATAATCAGCAGCAACAAATGGGTAAACCTAACCAACATATATATCGACTGCCTGTTTAGGAGATTAACCCAGGAAGATGGACCCAACACTGGAAAGTCGGTAACCACAACGAAAAATGAAAAAAAGAAAAAGGGAGATAAAACAATATCACAAAATGTGAAGAATGCCTTTTTTAAAAACTTCGATTTAGATTCCTATATGCCATCTAAGAGATCCAGCGTTAGTCTCTTCACTGACATGAAATTTCAAAGGGTGTATATATATGGAGGGTATGCTCAGATAAAAAACACTTCGAGGAATGCCATCGGGGTCTACTACAATGATTTGTGGGTTGTAAATATAAACTACAATGGGGAAGATAACATCCTGGTCAATTTTAAAAAACTGAAAAAAAGTATTTTTCAGCCATCTAAGAGAATTGGGTTCAGCACATGCATTTACAAAAACTCACTAATTTTATTTGGAGGAGTTTTTGATACGATGGAGAAAAATAACAACAAGAAGGCAACAGTGCAGAGTGGCACCCCGACCGGGCATAACAATACTACCGGTAATGTTTCCCCATTGGAGGAATCACTCAACATACAATCCATCTTCTTTAACGATTTATACTCGTTTGACATGAATAAGGAACACTGGTCCTACCTCAGCCTGAAGGGAAGCAGCGATGCCAGAGAGATCAACCGGAATGGGAAGGAAAATAAAAAAAAACAAAACGGAGAACTCAACCTGGGTTCCCCCTCCTGCGGCAGAAGCAGTAAGCAGCTTGTACCGGGGGACCAAGACCCTTTAAGCAAAAGTAGAGAAGGCCCATTCAACCCCTCCAGGGACTCCGCGTCAGACGGCTACGATTCCAGTCGCTTCACCGACGGAGACAATAATGACGACCAGTACTACGCTAACGTGTTTGTCTATTTTGACGAAAATGGAAATAAAAAAACGATCAAGATTGAGCAGGAAGACGAGCAAAGCAAAAGTGGTAACGAATCGCACAACGAGAAAAAGGAATTTCACGATAAGTCCCGAAACGGAAACTCCCATGTGTCAAACGTGAATAAAGGAAAGGGTACCTCGACAAATCAGGTAATCGACTCGCACTCGGTGTTTATGCAGTGCGAGGAGTTGGCACACAGGAGACGCGGTAACATAGTGGGCGATTCGGAAAGCGGAAAAAAGGGGTTCGAAAAATGCTGCATTCCAAATGGCGATCATGATGACCATCATAATGGGGGCGACCCCCCTGAGGGAAGAGACGCACCAGGAGAGCGCGCGGGGGAGGAGGGCCATCCTTCCGCGACGCACGACCCAACCGACTGCGACTCTCACTCCGGCACCAACGAGTCAGAGAAAAAAACCAAATTCGTAATAAGCGACGTGGAGCCCATCGGCAGAATCAACAGCCACATATTCGTAACGAACAAAACGTTGCACCTACTTGGTGGCATGTATGAATACAAAAATAACGAAATAATCTTAAGTGATCACTGGAAAATTAACATTTTCAAAAGAGAAAAATGGGAACTAGTACATAAAGGAAATCTCGATGACATTTATGTGGAAGAAACTGATTTGAGCTCTTCCCTCTCTATAGATGATGAAGATAAGGACGAAAAGGAAATAGAAAATTTGATCATTTCTGATAAAATAAAAAAAATGGAAAATAAAATAAAGGTCGAAAGTGAAGGCTTCATTTTTGATGCCAATGAAAATTTAAATGAATTTTTCCTCAGAACAAAAGAGCACTGGTTGAAAGAGCTAAATGTGGATGAAGAAAATAAAACAAGTAGAAAAGACGCTTTCGTTCTTTGTGAGCAGAAATACCAAGTGCTGAAAAAGTACCATAGGAAAATTCACAAGTATAGGGAATTGCTTTTGGCTGAAGAGTGCGGATCCAGCATGACTGAGGGGAGCTCCAGCGACCTGGGGGAGGAATCCTCCAGTTAGTTAAGCGCCTTGTTTTGCATGCCTCCAGTTAGTTAAGCGGCTTGTTTTCCATGCCCTCAGTTAATTAGCTTCTTTTGCAGGTGTAACACCCGATCAGTGGCAGCGGCGCCACGATGCCTACACCACACAGTCGTCGTGATGTCAACCCCTCTAGGAATTTTCTTCCCTAGAAATCGCGTGCGCGTTTTACGTTTTTCTTCTTTTATTTTTTTTTTGTTCTGTTTCGGCTCACGCTGCGCAGTACGTACTGCCCTATGACAGGATGACTGCATGGCTGCGCCCCTCCCCCTCGCTACTTCCCCCAATTAACGCTTTAATTTTAGCCAATGCTGCGTTTTCATCAATTAGGGTTACCCTCCTGATGCGAATTAAAGATGCGGGCTGAGAAAGTAGCCACACAGAAACATGCGCGCGTATACATGAATACGTAAATAAAAAGTAAAACGCTTCGAATTAAAAAAATAAAAGGAGACGTACCTTCCTATGTGTTTAGAAGCATAGGGATGCGTGCCGTCTGTAGGCCCCAAACAAGTTAGCCACCTTCGTAGCAATGATTAACGTTTTTCGTTTAAGAAAAAAAAAAAAGAAGGGAAAACGCCAAATGGCAAACGATGAAGAAAAGAAGAGGCAAATGAAGGCCAAGAAGCCGACCCCGAGCCTAACTTTCGACGCATTCCTCGCTTTGGATGTATCATGTCCCCCCGAGGGCACTCCGACGGGAAAATGGCTTCTTCACTGGAAAATCCCTTCTCGACTGGAAAATCCTTTCTCGACTGGAAAATTCTTTCACGACTGGAAAATTCTTTCACGACTGGAAAATTCTTTCACGACTGGAAAATTCTTTCACGACTGGAAAATTCTTTCA